CAGGCAAACAGAAGGCAGTGCACAGTCCCACCAAGTTCAAAGCCATCATACACAGGAGGCTGCCACAGGACTCTCGGGCAGCCACAGTGGAAACCTCTGGGAGCTGGTGATCAATATTAGTACCCAGGGTAACTCACAGCCCAGGAGAGAAGCAGAGCTTTTGAAGGGGTAGTTGGGGATGTCAGGGTAGCTAGACTGATTTAAGAGGCTGTGAACACAGACAAAGCTATTTACAAGCAAGGTCTTTCATTCTTTTATCAGTGAAGCAAACCAGCTGCCCTGCTAGTCTTGCCACTGTAATCTGAGCCATGAGATGGCAGGTGGTTAACAACATCCTCTCCCACCAAGCCAGGAAATGATGAAAAAATGTCTCCATGGACCCCTTGAGGGATAAACAGGGGGAAATGCTGATTGTCTTTTGAACATTTAGCTGTTGGAATGGGAAGAAAGGAGTTGTACAAATGGGTGAATGGTGAATAGTGGGTTTATGTCCTGGCAGTGTTTGTACCCACTTCCTTGCAATTGAAGTTGCTGTCCTGGGAGAATCATCCTGGGAGCGAAAGGAGCACTTTAAAAAATTACTTTTTTTCCAGATACAGAATAACTTTGTCCCCTGTGCTCCCATTAGGAGTCAGACCTCTGCATTGCCTTGCCAAAAACGGAGTTAACCCATTTTCCTTCTGTCCTATGCCTACAGAAGGAACGCTGAAGGGATTCCACGGAAGGGAATGACATGCAAAGGGTCTCCCCTATGAGCAGGAAACAAGCAGTTCTTACTCAGAGTCACTCAATTTCTACATGTTTCAACTTCCTATTTTCCCCAAAGCCACCTCAAACCTTCAAGAATATCCTTTTCATTGATGCCTCTTGGACCATCAGTGTATTCTACGTGCAGGGGAGAAGCAGATACTGCAGTGCATTACCATCCAACAAGGATCACCAGAGATGTTCCGTAAATCTGCCCAAGTCTGTTCATGTATTGCACCTCTAAATTGAACCTGGAAACTGCTGTTCTGAACTGTAAGTCATTGTTTGGCAACTGATGTGAGATACAGGCTTTACCAATTATTTGTATTAACACATTGTTTATCACAATAAATAATCTGCATTTGTGGATTTGTTATGCTCCTGTGTGCACTATATCCTGGGAATACTGAAAAACTGACGTGCTATGCTCACTCACTCTTTCATTTACTTACTGATGGGCTGTTCTGTTGCTATTGGCTCATTGCCTCATTTAACAGTTATGCAACCATTTTGCAGTTAGTACCCCTATGAGGGACTGGTTCTTCCATTGTTCTATCTGCAAGGCCCCAAAACTAAGCTGGAAGAAGTTCTTCTGTTTATATACAGAAAATTTTAGATAAATAAATATTGAATAATAAAACATACAAAATAAATTGGCTCAGAACATTTTCTCACCTGACATATTTTAATATTATAGGACACAGCCATTGTGATAATTACCTTGAACAACATGATCATGTCCAAGCCCAGGAAAAGCATGAAACACTCAGAAACATAGCAACTGAGCTGACAGAATCAGAGAGGCAGGATCAATCAGTCTGTCATTCTAGTGGGGGAAACTGAGACCCAGGAAAGTGAACTAAGTTGCTCAAGGTCATGAAAGTAGTGACAGAACTAGGGCTAAATTATAGTCTCTGGACACTAAGTCAAAAGCCTTCATTACCACATTGGCTCACTAAACAATATCTCTTTTCAAAGGGTCTTAATAACAAGTTGTGTGATGATAATACTGGTGGCCTTTTTGCAGAACTAACCCCTGAACCCTCTCTGATCATGAAATGGTGCTTACATGCAAAATGGTTTGTTCTCTCCAAAATTCACCTTGAACCTTAATCTCCAATGCAATAGTATTAAGAGGTGGGGCCTTAGGAGGTGATGAGGTCGTGAGGGCTCCTCCTTAGTGAATGGGATCAAGGTGGTCCTTATGAAAGAGGCTTCACATAGGATTCAGCCCTTTTTGCTCTTTTGTCCCTTCTGCCATGTGAAGACACAGGACTTAAGGACCATCTTGGAAACAAAAACAGGGCCCTCACCAGACACTGAACCTGCTGGAGCCTTGATCTTGGACTCCCCAGCCTTCTATTATTTATAAATTACCCAGTCTTGGGTAATTTATGTGCTGCTTCATTATAGCAGCACAAGTGGACTAAGACATGTCCCTAGCTCATTTGGCTAATTTCACCTTGTTTAATTGGAAATGGCAAAAATTCTCCTCCTCCTTTGGTTGGTGGCCTTTCCAACCAAAAGAATTTTGCCATCTAAAGGGCCATTCTGTGGAGTGGGGGTGCTTTACCCACTCATGCTCATCTTTAAAAGCTCCTCAGGACCCACCATCCATCACTTTCATTAGTTACGGCAGAGACTACCTTCCCTGTGGAATGCTAGCATGGCTTTGTCTCCAGGGCTTTCCAACCATGGGGTGTTACCTCATTCTGCCCTCCAAACCTCCTGTCAGTATCATGGCTGCCTGAGCTTTCTCAGACTAATTGATAGATAGCTACTGGGTGCCAGCCTCTGAGCTAAGGCCCATATTGAAATCCACAGTACATACATGATGCCTGCTACCCAGATGGCGCTCAACAAAGGGTTTCCAAATAAATGTTTTGATCACAAAACAGGTGGTACACAATTAAAAGCATTTTGTTTGAACATAGTACACTCTACACAAGACAATCTTGCTCTTAATATGCCTCTATAATTTGCCAAATTGCCTATCACTTCTAGGAGTTATCGACAAAAGGAAAAATCATGAAATACAAGATGGGAAAGATGACAGAGAGAAACTTCATGTTGTTCAAGTAGAAGCAAGAAGCAGGGCTGGTTAATCATAAGGGAAAAGTAATAATGTTCTGAAGCTGTGATAAAAGAGACAAGTAATGTCTTGAAAGAAGATAGTGGAAGGAAATAAAAGTGGCATTTAGGAAATAACTATGTGGTATGAATGTCCTGGTAAAGAAAATTTGGACAAATATACAATCCAAACATCAATGAATAATCGAGAACATGATGGCAGCATAGTTTGTAATGTTATAAAACCTATTATCCTTTTCTGGATTTTGTGGGGGAGAGCATGTGTGTGTGTCTGTGCATGCATCTTTATTCCAGGAAGGATGAAAAAGGTACACATGAAGTGTGGATGTGATCATGGAGCAGGAAGGCCAAGTATTTGGAGGACTGGTTTTGTGGAGCCACATTCTGAACCAGCACAAACAGGCCTCTGTCAGCTTACTGATAGCGAACCGATTACAAATGTGGAAAAACCTCCCTGCTGCCAAACTAGTCATCAGAACTGTGATAAGAAGGTGACAATCTAGTGGTAGGTACAAGTTCAGAGAGTCACTAAAATCAAAAGGGGGAAAAAAAAATAAAAAGAAGAAAAAAGTAGTAGATCACTGTCTCCTTAACACAAAGGGTTCCCAGTGTCCAATTTCCTTGTGTATTCCAAAACTCCCCAAGTGATAGTCACTGACAACTTATTTGTTCTAAACACAATGGGTGTTTTTCAGACCTGGTCTTAATGCTGTAATGGCAGTATTTCTCACTGCTGACCATACCTTCTTTTGTGACAGCAGATTTTCCTCCCTTTCTTTCTGGCTCCTGTTTATTCTCCTCCCCAGGATGCCTGACCTTTAATTTGGCAGTTGCCTGGAGGTTCTGTCCTATTTTCTGTCACCCCATACACTCTTCTAATGAAATATTCTTCACTATCTGACTAAAGGTACCATTTGTATTTTGATGAGCCTCAAACTTATCCCTAGCTGAGATCTTCTAGACCTGAACATCCAACAGTTCACCGACTCCCTTCACGTGAATGAGTACCAGGCATCTCTAACCCAACACATCCGATATGTCTCCCTCCACCGGCGCAGGCCCTCCTGTCATTGATCAGTGAATATCTGTCATTCACCCAGGCACTCCAGCCAGACTTCTGAACCTCATCCTTCATCCTTTTCTCTTCTTGAGATCACAACTATTTATGTACCATAAACTGTGCTGTAGTCCCAGGACAGAGGAGTAAATAAGGTCAAAATGGTCATTGCCCTTGTGGAGCTTATAACCTTGGACTCTTCCTTACTCTTGCCAATCCTGCCAACTCTCCATGCTGTTGTTCTTGAGACAGTCTCCTTCTCTCTAACCCCACTGCTGCTTTCCTACTTTAGGTATCCATCATCTCTTGCCTTGATCTCCTTAATCCTTAATAGCTTCCTAATTATTTCTCTGATACTAGCCCTGCCATTCCAATCCATTTCCACAAATCTGCCTAAAACCAATCTTAGCACACCATTGCCACTTAACATACCTCAATGGTTTCTCTCTGCTCTTAGGATAAGGGACTAAAACCTGTGGGAGCCCTGGGAAGGAAGACATATTGTCCTTTCAAACCTGAAGTCTTTAAATATTCATTCGACATTGTTAATCAGGAAACACTGGTTCTATTAATAAATATCCAGTTATAGCTAAAGTTAGAAATTTGCTATATGCATTAACTATAACATAGCATCTGTTTAAAGCATACATGATTCATACACATATAAAAATGGGATCTTGCTCCACATATTGATATGTTATGTAACCTCCTCTTTTAATTTTCATATTGTAGATGTCTTTCCATGTCATTAAACATTCTTCTACCATATCATTTAAATGTGTACACAGTATTTAATTGACTTGTTTATTTTTAAATTGGATCTTTTCCAAAGTGATATATGTACAAGTTAAAAAATCAAATAGTATCAAAGGGTTTAAAGAAAAAAACAAACAATAGCACTCTGTGGCATTTGTCCCCACTTAAGTGCTGGTCCCCAGAAGCAACCGCGAATATTTTAGCTGTTGCTTCTCCTAATTTATCTCTGTATTTGCAAACAATATGTGTATGCTGCTTTTTATTGATTTATCTATTTTATCTGCTGACTTCCCATCATTTGCTTCCCAGTATAATGTAGCCAATCATTCAACAAATACATATTGCTCACCTACTACGTGTCAGGCACTGTTCCAGGCATCAGGAATCCAGCAATGAGCAAGACAGACAAGGCTGTTGCATTCAAGAAACTTTAATTCTAGGAGAAAGACAATTGAAAAGCAAATAACTAAATAAAAACAATTTAATAAATTGCTGTGTGCTATCGAGAAAATAAAATAGGGTGATAGAAATTTAACACATGACTTTCAGTAGGGTGGTCAAGGAATGCTCATCTGAGGTGACATCTGAGTTGGGCTCTGACTGATGAGAAGAACCTGCATTGTGAAGATCTAGCAGAAGTGCTGTGTATCAGGGACCTTGCCACAATGGCTTAAGGGTTTTTTTCCCCCTCATATAGTAGCCTGAGGTAGGTCATCCAGGGACCTGGGCTCCTTCGATCTTCTTGCTCCTCCAGTCCCTCCTCCGTAAGGTCTCAGATGGCTCTACCACATCTATGTTCCAAACAGGAAGGTGGAGAAAGGAGGAGGGCACGCTCACACTCTTCTCTATGAAGACACAACTCAGCAATTTCCCATCTCTTCTGCTCACATCTTTTTCGTCAGAGTTTAGTCACAGACGCACACCTAGCTACAAGAGAAACCTGAAATGCAGTTTCTATTCTGGACAGCCATGAATGAGGAATTTCATTTTTATTCCAATTGCAATTGGAATCCATAGGAGAGTTTTTGGCAGTGAACCGATTTGACCATTTTCTCTCACATCTGTCCCATCTCCATTTCTTAATAGCATTATATCACTAATTTTAATTATTAATATTTACGTTGTTAGTATGTAAATATTGTTCATTACAGAACCAAGTAGTATACTAAGATTACATTTCCTTTTCTGTACAGCTTTAGTTTGCCTCAAGTTAATAATATTCTTAATTTTTCATATATATAATCATCTAATATATGCACAAAAATTTATCCCAGATTCTCCATCGTAGCATTGATCATATCATCTCCTCATTCCAGTTTACTTTTGCTCTGTCTTCCAAAATCTAGTTGAAATCTCTCATCCATTGATGTCTCCGCTACTATCTTCTTTTCCTTGTGAACATATTCCTTTTTAATATTTTTACTATCATGAATCTCGAGATGGAGAGGGAAAAAAATAAGCATGATCTATCCACCAATTTAATAGCAATTCTAGTAATATTTTAGCTTAAGAATTCTCTTTTACAATAACTTTTGATCTTGCAATATACCTTTTAAATGAAATTCTCCTTTTGACATTTTTGTGAGGCTACAGAAAAGATTAAAATGGCTTTCAATATGTCTTTGTCAAATTATTGTTCCTTTGAAGGTGACTGAATGCCAGGAGGGAGGGGAGGTGGCCTGGCTTTAATAGGACTATACTCCTCTTCATCATTCAACTCCCAGCTCTGACATCACCTCTGCCCACACTGTTCCACTTCCCCTGCAATGTATTATGATCACTTGTGCCCTTCCTTGTATATCCCACTAGCCCTTTAAAGGCCAGCATCTCTGTCTTTTGGGTTGTTTCTGAACTGCTCACCTTATTGCCTGGATTACTTCAGTCAACACTTCAATATTTCTGCCATGTATGAATTTTTTCCACCTCTTCCTTGAGAGGAAAGTTTTATTCACAACCATCTCTGATTCTTTCTAGATACAATTGCCACTCTTAGCTTTTATTTCGCCTAAGAGCATTTCAATTGTATTCAAGTTTAAAATCCCATCTCCAATGCTAATTTGTTCCTGAAGAGTTCTCTAAGGAATCCATGTCCCTGTCTTCTATTCCCCTCAGTGTCCTACACATAAATAACATTCAGTAAATGTTTCCTAAATGAATAAACTAAGTCACCTAATGAGGATCGTATACACTGTTTTACACTATATATTTCAGAAAACATTTTCAAGCTTCTATCATTCAATGTGAAACAGCTGAGAAGGCTAGCACTGCTAACATTAAGCACCATGCCTAGCCCAGAAGCAGATATGTAGCAAAAGGATATTTAATGTTTTCCTCCACTGCTTATTTGGCACAGGAAGGATAATGTAAACAAACCCATCTGTTTCCTCTTGCCCAAGGATTTCCAATGGTGACCAAAAAAACTTTGTGCTGAACTTCTAATGACTCCTGACTTATCTCACCTGTTCTTTGTCAGAAACTTGTTAAAAATTTTAATATATGTGAATACCTTACTAGGACACAACCTGGAATAAGAATAGAGTTCTTATATAAAAGTCAACAGCTTGGAAACAAGAAGGTAAGTTTCTTGGCTTATTATCTATTCTCATGACATGTGAGTAGCTGGCTTGTTTAAAACACTATGCTTTTACTATGTATTTTTTTTTTAAACTTGATTTTAAGCAGGAATTACATATTATAGGATTTAGGGCCAAAAGGGTCCCAAATAAGTTATCTATTTCATTATCCAACTTTCAGAGAAGATCTTTAAGAGCATGTTACAATTTTAAAGTTTCAAAACTGGATAAAGATTTACATTTTATATATTCACATCAACACTGTGGACCATTTTTATATATGACATTGCTATTTAAGGTCTGCTGATGTTTCTACCCTGACATTTAAAGCCCCTCCTATCTCAGGTCTTCCATTCTAACATAATTATGAAGTTCATTTTGCTTCCCTTCTGCAATCTGAGGAAGTCTGTGTCTTACCTGCACTGCAAACAACCACTTTAGGACACTTGGAATGCTGCTATGCATCTTAACTTTATCCTGTTAATTAATTCAAGTAAGTCTCATTGAACCCAAATTGTAGGCTTGTCATTATTAAACATCACCATCTTCTAGCAATTCCAGGCCAAAGTCTATAAAACTGACTATTTTGCTTAGGTTTAAATAATACATTTTAGAACATCCATTTAATTGAGATTTCTGTACATTGTTCTCTTTTAAAACAGAGTTAATGAAAAGATGCTCCACATCATTAGTCATTAGGGAAACACAAATCAAAACTACAATGAGATATCACTTCACACTTACCAAGATCGCTATAATAAAAAATTATAACAAATGTTGGTGAGAACAGAGAGAAATGGGAACCCTTGTGCATTGCTAATGGGAATGTAAAGTGGTGCAGGATTTTGGAAAATAATTTAGCAGCGCCTTAAAACATTTAAACATGGTTACCATATGACTGAGCAATCCTACTCCTGGGTATATATCCAAGAAAAATGAAAATATATATCCACACAAAAAATTATATACCAATGTTTGTTTATAGCCAAAAAGTGGAAATACCCCAAATATGCACCCCAACAGATGAATAAACAAAATGTGGTACTTTCAAACGATGGAATGTTATTTGGCCATGAAAAGGAAGTACTGACACATGCTACAACATGGATGAACCTTGAAAATACTATGCTAAGTGAAAAAAGCCAATCATTAAAAACCACATATTATATTTTTATGTTTTTTAAGAAATGTGCAGAATAGTTGAATCTATAGAGACAGAAAGAAGATTAATTGTTGCCTAAGGTCAGGGAAGGTGGGTAGAAGAGAACTGGGGAGTGACTGCTAATAGATGTAGGGTTTCCTTTTTTAGATGATAAAAATGTTCTAAAACTGATCATGGTGATGCTTGCACAACTCTGTACATATACTAAGAATCATTGAATTGTACATTTTAAATGGATGAATTATATATGATACGTGAACTATATCTCAATAAAGCTGTTTTTAAAAACTTTAAAGAACAGAGTTCAGCATTCTCCATGGATAAAAGACAATAATAAAAAAAATTGGCTGATACAGCAAAACAAGGATATTTGGCCTTTATTCCCCTTCCAGATACTGCTGCTTTAGCTCACTTAACAATTTTATCTGCTTACTCCATGTGATATGTAATCAGAGCTCAAAGCCTCAACAGGAAGTCCATAACAGTTCTTTCAAACAAACTTAAAAAACAGTTTAATGACATTATCTAATAGTGTATTAAAACCCCGCTTTGATGCCATTTTATGATCTTAAGCTCTTGCTTTCCATTTTGAAATAACATAAGGGCTTATACAGATAATGCAATTTGACTTTACTAAACTTTCTTCCTTGAAAAAAAATGTCTATCATATTTGGGACAAAGCAAATAATGTTCTTAGGTGTTTTTAAATCCCTAATCTACTATAGTTCTATCAGGACTTAAACCCATAAAATTAAGTACAAAACATAAGAGTGGCACTTACATAAAACCAAGTTTTGATTTACATTGAAAGAGCTATTCAAAGATCAGTCCAATTGATCATCCATGAATTGTTTACATATTGTTTCTAAATTAGTTTCATGTGTATTCTATTTCACCAACGAGATCATATAACTTCAGTCTACCTCAATCTCACCTTTCTCAAGATATGAAACCAGACAAATTAATTTCCTAAGTATTTTACATATATTACCTTTCACCCAATCGTTTAAGGAAAGCTTAAGTTCCTCAAAGGCAAGGACCTCTTCCTAAACTTCAACAGCTCAGAGAGACCCCACAACGGTAATGTGTTTCTCAAAGTCCAAGACTTGGGCCAGTTGTCCAGTCAGGCTACAATGCATACATTTATATGTGCTATTAATGTATGTCAATATGTATCTATATCACATGTATCTTTATCTACTCATCTATCTTCTATTTATTATTTATACTTTGCCCCCAAATCTTCAAGAACTCCCGATTTTCTTTAGAATACCCTTCAAACTCCTTAGTATAGGTTTTGAATCTCTTTGCCAACTTCCCCATCTGTTCTTTCTAGGCTGAGCCTCACATGCCAACCCACCAGTTACTCAAAGCTCCCCTTCCACGCATATGCGCTGTCATACTTCCAGGCCTTTGCTGTCCCTTGGATTGCTATCCAGTCTGTGAAAAATCTGTTAAATTTTTAAAGTCCATGTCAAAAGTTACCTTCTCCATGGACCTTTCCTGTTTTATAATTAGTGTCTCCTTTTAAATGCCCCATGGCACTTTGTCTAGTATTATATCCCTTATCCCAGCTTGACCAGTATGATGCCCAGGGACATGTCTTCTCTCCTAATATTAAGTCCATGATGTTTGAGACTATTTATGCGTAAATCCCCTAACAAAGCACATGCTGTATCCCCTTTACCCTGTAAAAAAAAATCACTCCATAAATGCTTTCTAGATGTAATTATTCTTATATTTAATTCCCCATAACTCTAAGAATGGCATAGGGCACATACTAGTGAATCAGTAAATGATGTTAATTGATGGAATATAAGTTCCTGGAGGAAAGATTCAAATGCTCAGTGACTGATTTTAGTGACAATTAAATAAAAGTGATAGATCTTGACACACAAAAATTTTATTCTCTAAATTGTTCCTACATAAAATTGAACTTAAGTAACAGTTTAATGTATCAAAACGATTGGCTGAGTATTTAGTTTCAATATATTTTTATTTTCAGTGGTTCTTCTGGAATAAAATAGTTTTCATCTGAGGAACACACATAAAAGAATTGTGGAAGTCAATTCTTAGAATATAGATGGATTTTTGTCACTGTTTATTCAAGGTCCATTCAAACATTTATCATTTATGAGAACACTGTCTGGGCAGACACTGAAAAAGGTACTGGACCATCAGTGAATAAGACATGGGACCTGCCCTTAAAGTTTTTATAGTACACTGGGGGAAAGATCTCAAAGGAATCTAGGTTTTGGTGCTTCAGAAAAACTAGTACTAATTAGCTGGATATTGATGAACCTGCAAGTTCTTTAAAATGTATTCTTTTAAATTCAGATTATAACATTTGTGTTTCAACGTATACTAAAAACAAAGCTATAACAATATTTAGAAAATCGTTTTTATTGACACAAACAGCAAAAGAACTTAATTAGACACTATGAATCAGGGCTGAGGGTAGGGAAAGGCAAGAGAGGTTTCTTAGCACAAAATTTAAAGAGGTACTCGCTCTCGGGGACCTCAAAATGCAGGGTCAGCCTGAAAGGAGTGCCTCTTTAAACTGAGCACCTTAAGCACTTCCCCTGACTCGCTTTGGTTGTGGCCCAGCTATGAATGTTTACAAAAATAATTTTGTGGTACACCTGGTTCTGTACACTTGGTATATTCTGTGACAAATGTTTTATAAATTATTTCTTCTGGTTTATCAAAAATAGAATTGTGAAATTATAGAGGGAATGAATTACTATGCAAAGAGAATATGTCTACTTTTGGGAGGAAAGGGTAGATACTAAGGGAAAGGGAGAGAGAAAATAGAATTAGCATATTAAAATGATTTCCAAGTTAAAAACCTCCAAGTGTTCAGATTAGAAGTAAGTCTCATAACTAAACTGTTCTAGTATCTATAACTATTACCGTATGCTTTTACTAACTTCAAATCACTTCTTTATTGGCACCTTACTTAGATCAATACCAAATAAACTGAATGAATAGGAATAAAACAATCAGGTAAGTTATAAGCTAATATCAGTGCTCTTTTAAGACAGATCATTTTGGAGATTAGTACCTGAAGATGATTCTCTTCTTAGTTCCTTAGTCTAGATATTGATGGTTATGCAGGACCAAATAAGAACATTCTGGATGCACTTGATCCACAGGAATATCACTCAAATAACAAAGCATTAATTTAAATTAGTTGTCCTAAAAAGCAGTTTCATATTTAGATACATTATTAAATATAGAGTAAGTGATAATTTATTAATAGATTTAAAAGATTTTCCACCACTGACATTAAGTGGTGGAAAAGGTTTTTCTATTAGATCAAGTAATAAGAACTTGAAATCAGCCTTTCAAGTGTCACTTCACCTGGTAATACAATGTTTAATGTCAGATAAAATTTTAAAGCAGCTTTCTAAAAAGTTCTGAGGACATACATAGTAAAACGTTTCCCCCTGTGTTGCCTTGATTACACTTCCCCTTCTCTACACATTTCTTAGGATATTAAGAGCTGCTACCCATCTATTTTGGGTTGGTGGTAGGTTTCTTTTTCTTTCACTTCACTTTGAACTTGAAAATTTTTACCTACCAAAGTGTTAGGTATTAGAACTAAGAATTTCATATAGAGCTCTCAACAGAACTTAGAAAAGCTTGGTTGTGGCTGTGACTTATCTATAAAACTATTCACTGTGGCCCCTAAATGAGGTTTTGCATGTTCTGCAGTGATAGCAGCTAAACAAAATCATCTCAAGCTGCCATAAATGGTGATGTTTGTGTAGAAAGATGTTTTTTCATAGGATAATAAAAAGGCTGAGGCAGCTCTTAAACTAACATGCCTGGATTTTCAGAGAACATTCAAAATCATAAAAATAAAATCTCTCTACCAATGAAAAATGACAAATCTAAGAAAAACTATTACTCAATAAATGAAAATGACCTTAGATGACTTGCCCATCTCCCTTATGTTAAGAATACCTACAATTATAGACTATATAGTTTGTGTAACTACAACTCTTAATTGATAACTTACAAAAAGTTTAAAACATCAAACCAAAACAAGTTAAAATATTTTAAATTTGTAATTGAAGTCAACTGAGCACACAGTTAAACACTACCACTGTGCCCCAAAAAACTTTTCTTCTCCTAAATGTGATCCCTACAACTCTTACCTCTACAACAAACTAAAATCCAAGCTTATCAAATAAAATTCTTGGAGAATACTATCCTTCTGGTAACTGAAATCATTATTGAAAATTTTCTATGAATGTTTCCATGAAAATGCTGACTAATAAATCCCCAATTTCCTTGCTAGTATTAATACAAAAATACTGTTGCAAACACTCATTATACTAGTTTTTTTTTAATTTAGATCACATGAAATATTTTTAACATGCATTGGCCCAAAATTTTCACTTTGGATCAACTACTCAATCCATGTTGGAAAGATCAAGGTTTATAAATAAATTATATAATATCACTTTGTAAAAAATAAAACTTCAATGTAAACTTTTAGTTATCTGATGTCTTAGGTAAATACTTTAAATAAACACCATTCGTGCAAACTTTTCTGCATCCTTTATTGAGAGATAGGTACTTTGAATCATCTTCAAAGCCTAAGGTTGAATTATTTTCATTGAGATTCTATAAAGTTGCATGAATATCACAGCTATAAATCCTAAAAGCCAAAAGAAATTTGATAACCTTAATGAAATGGGCCAATTATTTGAAAGATAACAACCTGTCAAAACTCATATATGTGGAAAGACACAATCTAAGTAGGCCCATTTCTTTTATGGTATTTTCAAACAATGGAATGCTATTTGGCCACGAAAAGGAAGTACTGATACATGCTACAACATGTAGAAATTGAATTAAAAATGGATAACCTTCCAAAACAGAACGTACCAGGCTCAGATGGGTTCATTGGTGAATTCTACCAAACATTTCAGCAAGAAATTATACCAATTCTCTACAATCTCTTTCAGAAGATAGAAACAGAGGGACTATTTCCTAACTCATTCCAAGAGGCCAGCGTTACCCTACTATCAAAGGAAATAAAGATGTTTTAAGAAAACTACAGAGCAATCTCTCATGATCATAGATACAAAAATTCTCAACAAAATATTAGTACATTGAATCCAACAATGTGTAAATGAAGAATTATATACTATAATCAAGTGGGATTTATCCTAGGTATACAAAGCTGGTTTGAAGATCAGTTAATGTAATCCATATCAAAAAGCTGAAGAAAAATCACATGATCTTATCAATAGATACAGAAAAAGCATTTTACAAAATCCAAACTCATTCATGATAAAAATTTTCAGTAAACTAGGAATAGAGGGGAACATTTCCTCAATTTGACAAAAGAACATCGACAAAAACCCTACAGCTAACATCATTATTTAATGGTAAGAAACTAAAAGCTTTCCCACTAATATTACAAATAAGTCAAGGATGTTCCCTCGTAGCACACCTTTTCAACATTGGAAGTCCTAGTAAATGCAACAAGACAAGAATAGAAAATAAAGGGTATACAGATAGGGAATGAAGAAATAAAACCTCTCTGTTCACAGATGACATGACCATCTATATAGAAAATCAAACAATTATACAAAGGTTGCAGGATACAAAGTTAATATACAAAAGTCAATTGCTTTCTTATATACCATCAATGAACAAGTAGAATTTGAAATTTAAGACACAATACCATTTACATTAGCACAAGAAAAAAATGAAATACTTAAGTATAAACCTAACAAAATGTGTACAAGACCTATATTAGAAAAACTACAAAACTGATGAAAGAAATCAAAGAACTAACTGGAAATATTCCATGTTCCCAGATAAGAAGACTTAATATTACTAAGATGTCAGTTCTTCCAAATTTGATCTATAGATTCAACACAATCCTAATCAAAATCCCAACAAGTTATTTTGAGGATATTGAGAAACTAAACCTAAACTTAAGATGGAGAAGCAAAAGTCCAAGAGAAGTCAACATAATATGAAAGAAGAACAAAGTTGGAGAACTTACACTACCTGACTTAAGATTTACTATAAAGCTAGAGTAATGAAAGGAATGTGATACTGTTAAAAAAAAAATAATCAGTGGAACAGAATAAAGAGGACAGAAATAGACCCACATAAATATAGTCAGCTAATCTTTGACAAACGAGCAAAGGCAATGCAATGGAGAAAAGATACTCCTTTCAACAAGTGGTGTTGGGACATCTGGACATCCACATGCCAAATAATAAATTTAAACACAAATCTTACAAATATAAGTCAAAAGGGATCATAGATCTAAGTGTAAAACACAAAACACTAAAACTCATAGAAGATGTCACAGGAGAAAATCTAGATGACCTTGGGTATAGCAATGAGTTTTTTAAACACCAAAGTCATGAAAGAAATAATAAGATGGGCTCCATTAAAATAAAAAATTTCTGCTCTGGGCTAGGCATAGTGGCTCACACCTATAATCCTAGCACTCTAGGGGATGAGGCAGGAAGACTGCTTGAGATCAGGAGTTTGAGGCCAGCCTAAGCAAGAGTGAGACCCCATCTCTACGAAAAAAAAAAAAAAAAATAGAAAAATTAGCCAGGCATAATAGCATGTGCCTGTAGTCCCAGCCACTCTAGAGGCTGAGGCAGGAGGATAGCTGGAGCCCAGGAATATGAGGTTGCAGTGAGCTATGATGATGCCACTACATTTCAGCCTGGGGGACAGAGGGAAACTCTGTCTCAAAAAACCAAAACCAAAACCAAAAAAACTTCTGCTTTGCAAAAGACATTGTCAAGAGAATGAAAAGACAAGCCGCAGACTGGAAGAAAATATTTGCAAAAGACAAATCTGTTAAAGGACTATTATCCAAAATGTATAAATAACTCTTAAAGCTCAACAATAGCTGGGTGCAGTGGTACATTCCTATAATCCCAGCTACTTGGGAGTCTGAGAAGGGAGGATTGTTTGAGGCTAGGAGTTTGAGGCCATAGTATACAATAATCACTCCTGTGAATAGCTGCTGTACTTTAGCCTGGGCGACATAGCAAGATCCTGTCTCAAAACACAAAACAAAACAATAAGAAAACAACCCAATTAAAAAGTGGGCCAAAGATCTGAACAGACACCTCATCAAAGAAGATACACAGATGGCAAATAAGCATATGAAAAGATGCTCTACCTCATATGTCATTTGGGAAATGCAAATTAAAAAAGCAATGAAATATCCTACATACTGACAACACCAAATGCTAGTGAGGATGTGGAGCAACAGTAACTTTCACACTTTGTTGGGGGGAATGCAAAATGGCACAACCACTCGGAAGACACAGTAGTGTCTTATAAAACTAGACATACTCTTATCATACTACCCAGCAATCTCAATCCTTGGTATTTACCCAATGGAGTTGAAAACGTATGCCCACACAAAAACCTGCATATGGATGTTCACAGAAGCTTTATTCATAATTGCTCAAACTGGGAAGCAGCCAAGATGTCCTTCAGTAGGTGAAGGGATAAACAAACTGTGGTACATCCAGGCAATGGAACAGTATCTGGCACTAAAAAGAAATGAGCTACCAAGCCATAAAGACACATGGAAGAACCTTAAATGCATATTATTAACTGAAAAAAGCCAATCTGAAAAGGCTACCTACTATATGTTTCCAACTATATGACATTCTGGCAAAAGCAAAACTATGGAGACAGTAAAAAGATCACTGGTTGCCATGGATTATGGAGAAATGAACAAACACAGCACAGAGGATTTATAGGGCAGGGAAAATGTATGATATTACAAAGGTTCATATGTGTCATTATACATGTGTCAAACCATAGAATGTACAAAAAGAGTGAACCCTAATGTAAACTGTGGACTGTGGGTGATGGTGACATGTCAACATAGGTTCACTGATTATAACAAATAAACCACTCTGGTGTGCATGTTTGGGGGCAGGAGGTAAACAGGAAATGTCCGTACCTTCTGCTTTACTGTGAACCTAAAACTTCTCTAAAAAATAAAGTCTATTAAAAAGAAAACAAATTAAAAAAAAAAAAAACCACCAGGCTGAGCGTGGTGGCTCACACCTGTAAACCTACCACTCTGGGAGGCCGAAGTCGGCGGATTGCTCGAGGGCTGGAGTTTGAAACCAGCCTGAGCAAGAGTGAGATCCCGTCTCTACTATAAATAGAAAGAAATTAATTGGCCAACTAATATATAGAGAAAAAATTAGCCGGGCATGGTGGCACATGCCTGTAGTCCCAGCTACTCGGGAGGCTGAGGCAGAAGGATCTCTTGAGCCCAAGAGTTTGAGGTTGCTGTGAGCTAGGCTGATGCCACGGCACTCACTCTAGCCTGGGCAACAAAGTGAGAAAAAAAAAAAAAAACAAAAAACAAACAAATAAACAAAAAAACCACCAAAGACACTAGAGCAAATTTTATGTTAATTTTTATTTAGGTATACATATCATAAAAATTTAATCTCATAATTTTAAAGATACATAATTACTTATACATAATGTTTCAATCTAGTCTGTCAATCTAGTTTATCATGAATCCTTTTGGTCCCTGAACCTGCCTTTGTTTCCTTCCCTAAGGCTTGATGCAAAACTTCCTGGAGGGGAGAGGCAAGAAATTAAGGGTATTAGGGAGACACAGTCTCAGTTATCTTTGATGATGCTGAAAGGCGTTCAGCACCATGAACATGTTATTCAAACATAAATGAGAAAATAAACTATCTGAGCAATCTTCATGAGGTTTTTCAAGCAAAGTGTATTTCATATCACTACAAACTTAACTACTTATAAGCTATATCTAACATACTTAACTAACACTGAGTCTTCTGAGGTATCATCAATATCCAGCTTCCAATTTCCACTCTTTAAAATATTTCTCCATTGTGCTCCTAGATTTCCAAGTGCCAATGTTTACGGTAGGTATGATTTTCTGGGGCTTCAGCCACTGGACAAAGCGCTTCATTTCTAGGTAGCTGCTGTGTTCACTATAAGGAATTCCTGTAACACCAAAGAAAAAATATTGTGCACTAAAAATCAAACCAATAAAAAAATTTACAAGCATAAAATAAAATAAAATAGAAATGCAATCCAGGGTATTTTTGCAGTCAAATGCTCTACCATTGAGCAATGGTATTTTTTTTTAAAAAAACTCCTTGATGCCTTAGTTCTGATAAGAAAATTTGTTGATATCTTTTATGGATAATAAAGATTGAAACATTAAAATCATATAATACTTGGAACACTAAAAAAATCTATTACTTTTCTATGTATACATTTAATAATATGCATTTCTAGAGAGTCCTATTTAAGTAGAATTTTCTTCTTTTAACAAGTCTTCCTTTTAGACATTTTGCTTGGCTATGGATTTCAGAAAAATCTGGAAGAAATATGAGTAAAATGTGAAGAATAACAAGCAAGACACTCTCGATTTCCAGGGCAAGTAAGCATATTCTAGTCCCCAAACTTTGTACACATAAAAATAAAAAAATAAACAAAAATTAAATCTTAAAAATCACTTTATCTCCTTTATTGCAGATCAAGTACCATAGAGAAAGGGAGGTCCTGTTTTGAGCAAGCAAAGTTTTTAGAGCAGGTGTCCTCAAACTACGGCCTGTGGGCCACATGCCGCCCGCCGAGGACATTTATCCAGCCCACCGGGTGTTTTTGCCGCAGCTGCCTGTCCTGCTTAGCGGCCGACTCATCCCAGGCCCATAATGCACACTCTCCAATGGTATGAGGGACAGTGAACTGGCCCCCTGTTTAAAAAGTTTGAGGACCCCTGCTTTAGAGGCCGAGGGTAAGTCATAGGGCTAGTGACATACCAAACATGTTTCCAGCAGCTAGCACCGTAATAAGCCAACTCTGAGGGCACTGGTAATCCCCCTCCAAGGGACGAACACATCAAAATCAAGTCTGTGTCCTCTGCTGTCATCACGGCCAATCGATCAACTTCCTGCTCCCAATCTCACACGTCACCTAGCCTTCCAGTATACAACCACAGTACCCCTCCATTCAAGTAATTCTACAATTTTCTCTAAATATCATTAATCACAAGTTAAACAGTCTGTGTTAATGCCTATCTACTAGTCCAGCTCCTTACATTTGTTTACAACAAACTAGATACAGGTTTAGAGTTGTAGAAAGATTTGAAAACTTTAATTGTTCTTT